TCATACTTGGCTTTATGCCACTATTGTCTGTAAAAGGTATAATTGCCTGGCTAACGCTGTTCAGGGGCTCTTGGGGCTCAGCTCGGCTCAACATGGCTTGACATGGTGGGAGTGTTGGCGCCCAGAGAGAGAGAGAGAGAGAGAGAGCGCCAAAGTTGTCCGTCTTGCAGCCGGACAGGTGGGAGCCAGGACACAGCTTGGCTTGCTCATGCCCAGAGAGAAAAAGAGTTAAGCTGCTGACCCTGAAGGCAAGGGAGAGCCAGCTATGCAGCAGCAAGCATGGGAGTGGCAGGAGCCACAGAGCCAGAGCAGACAGCTAAGATAAAGGTGAACAGTGTGAGAGAGCTGGTGTAACTAAGCTGCTAATAAGAGCCGCTGCTGAATAAAACCATGTTCACCTGCCTATGGCCCCCTAAGTCTTTTTTCTGCTCATCCACCCACTCTCTTCAGACTTCAGCATGGGCTGGACAGACCCTGAGACCTGACACCAAGAATTTCCTACCTTCATCTGTGATACTTAAAACATATGGGCTTCCTTTTGGTCAACCACAGAGTACCTGTATTTAGTAAATAACTTGCTATATGCATTTAAGTTACTTGTCACTGATTTTCTAGTACCTGTAATAAAGTTCCTAACTCTTGGTAGCACAGAAAAAAAAAAATGGAGCAGTTTTATAAAACATTCATGCTCAGGAGCTACTTCAGATAACTGAGGGGACTAAAGTATAATATACATATAGAAAACTGCATTTGCCTTAAGTGTACAGCTCTTACGTCCACAGTTTACTTAAACTGAATACACCTGTGCAGCCAGTGCTCAGCTCAAGAATCAGAACATCACAAGCATTCCAGAGACCGCTTTATGCTCCTTTGCAGTTACTACAGACCTCTTCCACAAGGCAGTACAACAGTCTCTTTAAAAGCTCAGGTGGTTCTAATCTGCAGACAGTGTTAACTACAGCCTCTTTCCCAACCAGAGAAGACTGAAGACAACCGGCAATCGAGAGAACTAGTGTGGCCAGAGTGGTGGCTCACGTCGGTAACCCCAACACGTTGGAAGGCCAAGAGGGAAGGATCACTTGAGCCCAGGAGTTTGAGACCAGCCTGGGAAACATAGTGAGACTTTGTTTCAAAAACAAACAAATAAACAAAAAATTAGCTGGGCACAGTGACGTGTGCCTACAGTCCCATCACAGCTACTTGGGAGGCTGAGGTGGCAGGATCACTTGAGTCTGTGAGTTCAAGGCTGCAGTGAGCCATGATCATAACACTGCACTCCGGCCTGGGAGACAGAGTGAGGCATCATCTTAAAAAAAAAAAAAAAGTGCTAGCCTAAAACATATTTACAATATAGTTATATCACCAGGCATCACCAGAAATTTAGCTCACTTGTAAATTTTACTTTAATTTCTATAAAAGTGCTTATGTCAAAATGGCCACATTAAGAACAATTCTGGAGTTTTAGAAAGCTTCTTTCAAATCACTGTACAAGTGTTATTCAATGTCCTTTACTAGATGGCCAATAAGTTTCTTCTTTAAAGTCGACATTAAAGGAAGGTTTGCTCTCCTAATTGGCAAGTATCTTTTTATTAGAGGAGAACTTTGTAAATTATAACCCATCAAATTTCCTTTCTGATCAGGTCTGTCCCAAAGAGCTAAATAGCTTTACTTAGGCTAAATTTTCTGATTTAATTCCAATGTTCATTCACTCATGTTACTTGGCTTCTGTTCTTTTATCCTTTGTTTTCACCACTAATTTTTGCAAGACACTCCAAATCTTCAATATTCAGGCAAAATGAATATTTTTTGAAAATATTTTATTCTTTTAAAAATACTGTCTAAAAATATTTTATTATTTTCAAACATTCTTTGGAACATACTTCAAAATAAGTATTATTCCTTTCTCATTGTTTGTGTTATAGCAACTAACATGATACTATTCTAAATAGGTACAAGCTTGATAAAGTCCCTGGAATTAGAATATCATACATTTGCTAGAGGGTTGTTATTTAAACTAAAAAAATGGTCTCAGAAAAATGGCCATTAAAAAGAAAGTGGATTTTCAACTCTTGAGGAGGCAGCTTAGAAGAGAAAGCATTAATAAAATAAAAAGGAAGCTCACTGACCTACAAGAGTAATTTTTAATTAATAAAAATTTCTAATTAAACAACACCTTCCCTTTTTCCAAAATGCAGGGCAAGAAAGTTCTACTGCTCAGTCTGGTCCAATGAACAGGGAATAGGGCTGGGAGTCAGAATACTCTTGTTTAATCCTTTTCTCTTTCAGTGATTAGACACGTTTTGATATCAGATCACTGGGGTATCTTGATAAAAATGCAAATTTTGCATAAAATGCAAATTACAGTGGGTTTAGGGTAGGACTTAAAGGCTGTTATTGTTTTTTATTTAGAGATGGGGTCTTGCTATCTTCTACAGGCTGGCCTCAAACTCCTGGGTTCAAGCAATCCTCCTGCCTCAGCCTTCTGAGTAGCTGGGATTACAGATGTGAGCCACTGTGCCCAGTTTAAAAGTCTGAATTTCTGACAAGTTCACGAGTAATGTCAAACCTGCTGTCCATGGACCACACTTTGATGCAAGATTTAGATGATCTGGAATAACATCATGCAACCTTCTGTGCATTAGATGTTATGCCCATAAGATGAAGGTAATAATACCATGGCATTGATGCTTAAACACATGATAAATACATAAAGTGATGTTTATGTTAAAGGGCCTGAATGCCTAAGGACATGTGAGAGAGAGAGATATATATATCTCCATGTATTATTATCATCTTCTTACCCTCCTAAGGACCTTTTACTTCAAGCTATAACCAAAAAAGCTTTATAAACAAGCATATTTTAAATATGCATTTGTATAAATTAATACCTATTCAGTTTAAGAACTCTATTTTAAAGAAGAGAACACTGATTTAGGGACACATCAATACAAAACAACTATACATATTCACTAATTTGAGTTAAGGACTTGGCTGGGTGCAGTAGATTACACTTGTAATCCCAACACTTTGGGAGGCTGAGGTGGGAGGATGACTTGAGGCCAGGAGTTTGAGACCAGTCTGGGCAACATAGGGAGGCTCCACCTCTACAAAAATTTAAAAAATCAGCTGGGCATGGTGATGCAAGCCTGTAGCTCTAGCTACTTGGGAGGCTGAGGTGGGGGGATCGCTTGAACCCTCACTGCTGCACTCCAACCTGGATGATAAGTGAACCCCTGTCTTAAAAAACAAAAATAAAAACAAATTGAGGACTGTGTACAAGCTCACTGGGTTGCTAGCAGGTATGCTAAAAAAAACGGTGTAAGATATGAGTTCTTCCCTTAGGAGAGCACAAAGGAGTTATGGAGGAGCCAATATCTATATTAAACTTGTTAAACAAAGCACTAATTAAGTATAAATATGACTAGAACAGGAAATCAAATGCTGAATGATCAATGTGCTAGAGGAGACAACGAAGAATTTCTAAAGAGCAGGAATTCAGGTGAGGGTGATGGGCAACACTATAGCAATTTACTTTTAATTGTTTTGCCTTCTTTCAATGTTGCTGTCCCTACCTTTGCCCCCACTCCAATCATCCATTTCCCTGCCCAGAAGCCACAATGATTTTATTAAAAAGTAAAGCCGATGGCTTTACTCCTCAGCTTTAAAAAACCCCCCAATGGCTACTCAGAATGAAATATGAACTCCTTATCAAGACCTATAATGTTCTCACTTTGGGAGGCTGAGGCAGGCAGAACGCTTGAGCCCAGAAGTTCAAGACCAGCCTGGGCAACAGGCAGAAAGCCCATTCCCTATAAAAAATAAAAAATTAGCCAGGTTGGTGGTGTGCACCTGTGGTCCCAGATACTTGGGAGGCTGAAGTGGGAGCCTGGGAGTTGGAAGCTGCAGTGAGCCACGATTGTGCCACTGCACTGCAGCCTGGGCAGCAGAGCAAAGACCCTGTCAAAAACAAACAAACAACACTTGTAATGCTCTAAATGATGCTCCATCATCTCCTACCACTTTCTTCCTGTAAGCTGGTTCTCCCAGCTGCAAACCCAACCTTCTACCTGGTGCCTTGTGAAGGAGCTCTGCCTGTTTGCCAGTGGGCTTCCTGTTAGGTTTCGCCAGTAGGGGTCACTGTAGGCAAACCTGAACAAGGAAGCTTTCCTACTCCTTGCCGCCAGGAAGCGGCGATTGGTTCCAGTCTTCAGGTTCTTTTGGAACTCCAAGAACTAGCCTCATTAAGCCCCCTGCAGCCAGGTAGGGCCCCTCCACAGATCTCAGAACAGCTGCAGAAGGTCCCTCCACCAGTCTCTCCTACAGCCCAAAGGGTGGTTGTCAATTTCTGTTATTATTATGGGGCAATTTCAACATCCCCGGCCCGCCTTCAGCTCCCTAACACTGGTGGAACTAATTCCTCAACTAAGTTCCTTCTGCTGAAATGTCAAATGGAATTTTGGTTTTACTGACTATACCTGAATGACACAGCCCCTTACTGCCTTCACTCCAACCACACTGAACACTTTTCTCCCTTGAACGCCAGCTTGTTTTCATCTCAGAGTCTTGGCAATTTCATTTGCCTGAACCGTCTTCCTTAAGTTCCCTACGTGGCCCTAGAATGAGACTGGGAAGTTGGGGTGGAAAAATATTTCCTTCTTGCTTATATTTTACCTTGTAATTTAGAGCCCTACCTACCTATTTCTCCCAAAGGATTTGAGCATATAGTTTTGAAGACAGAAGAGCTGAATTCTCTCCTAATTTTAACTTATAATTTAGACCCTCTTTCCACCTATTTCCCAAAGTATCTAAACTACACAGGAGCCAGTAAAAAGGCAGACTGGCTGAGAAATGAGATGGGACATGCCTAGTTTACAATGATAATCCAATAATCAAATGTAAAGATCTTGCAAAGGGCTAAAAAAAGAAAATTTCTATAAGTAACTGCATCAGTTGCACAAAACGTATTCCTTTTGCACTGCAAATCTCTTCACAACCCTCACCTGTGCAGCAGAGGTCTTGGCCACTTGAATGATTTTCTCCATAGATAGGTAGCTCTGCTGGGAGGGAGCAGGACCGATGGAATATGCTTCATCTGCCTGTTTAAGAAACATCACATGTTTAAAAGACTTTGTGGCTAGTACATACTCATACACTATACAGAACTGCTTTGGGGTCATTTTATTATTGTAAATAAAAATGCCACTCCCTCAAGAACAGTGCAAGAATTGAAAAACTGAAGTACCAGCACATGTCTATGCTATAAAAATAAGCCAGTCCTAGAATCTTTTGCATGAAGAGGGTAACAAAACTTTGTTTTCATGCACAAGCCACACACTGGTGTGAAACTAAAGTGTCTCAGGATAGAAAGCAACAGATATTAGTCATGATATTATTACAAAAAACAATAATAACCTTAAATGTATTCAATGCCAAAAATTTATATTTGGTAATAGAAACAAAATATGTGACAGATGTACACAAAGAAAAAAGCTTACAAAGTTGATTAAAGTTTATATAATTATCAGAGTATGATGATAATGCTCCTTTCATACATCTGTGAATTATTTTATATCATTCCTTAAAACTTTCACATAATCACAGCATCCCTTGAAGTAGATCACTTAGAGCACATCATTCATTCATCCCAAGACTTACTGAAGGCCTACTATGTGCCACACTTTGAGGTGGGAGCTGCCTGTACCATAGTGAACAAATGTCTCTGTCTAGGGAGAGAGACAGACATTAAACATACACTCACACACTTAATGACAACTGTGATGAACGTCATAGAGGAAAAACCAAGGGCATAAAGGCTACAGGAGGAATGCCTGATCTGGTCTGAAGGTGGTCAGGAAGTGCCTAGGAGGGAAGTCAGGGGAGGCTCCTCAAGGATGATCAAGATTTTGCCTGGCAAACAGATCAAGAATGTGGAGTTGGGAACAGGAATGGAGCTGAGGTTGAGGCTCTCAGGCAGAGAAAACAACCTACAAAAAGGTGGGAGGAAAACTGGTCCATTTGAGCGACCGAAGAAAGGTTTGTGTGGCTGGAACACAATGAGCAAGGGGTCCAGAGGCCAGAGAGGATGCTGGACAGAAAGCTGGGCACAGGTTTCAAAGGGCCTATAAGACATTAAAAAGCTTTGGGCTTTCTCCTAAGTAAGCACACAAAGAGACCATTTTAAATGTTTTTGTTGTTGTTGTTGCTGTTTTGTGTTTTTTTTTTTTTTTTTTTTTTTTTTTTTTTTTTTTTTTTTTTTTTTTTTTTTTTTTTTTTTTTTTTTTTTTTTTTTTTTGAGGTAAGTCTTGCTCTGTCGCCCAGGCTGGAGTGTAGTGGTGCAATCTCGGCTAACTGCAACCTCTGCCTCCCGGGTTCAAGTGATTCTCTTGCCTCAGCCTCCTGAGTAGCTGGGATTACAGGTGCATGCCACCACACCCAGTTAATTTTTGCATTTGTAGTAGAGACAGGGCCTCACCATGTTAGCCACGACCTCAGGTGATCTGCCTGCCTGGGCCTCTCAAAGTGCTGGGATTACAGGCATGAGCCACGGCACCCAGCCTGTTTTTTACTTTTAACTCCACAAAACACAAATCTATTCTCATTCTAAAGAACGCGAATTATAATACAAATGCAAAGTAGCCCTTTGGTACTCCCCCCACTGCAGTCTCCTTCCAGATAGAACATCCACTATAATCAACTTGAGACATATTGTTCCATATCCATATTCCTAACTAGTCATATATGTTTATATAAACACATGCAGTTTTAGTTCTTGTTTTTACATAAATAGGATCATACTATATAATTATCTTCTGCAACTGCTTTTTCCATTAACAGTATGTCTTGGGAGCTCTTTTTCTTGCTAGTACACGTCTATACCTTATTTTGTATAACATTTGCAAAATATTCCATAGTATGGCGGTATTACAGTTCATTTAATCATGTAGCTCTTAATGCGCACCTAGGTTATAACAGCAAAAAACTGGATGTGGGCAAGGCTAAAGCAGACATTCCTGTACACACTTCTCTTAGCACATATATGTGAGCATGCCTGAAGGACAGAAACCTACAAGAATGTTTGCAGGGTTGGGTTGAAGGATATGCATAGTTTAATAGCTTCTGGTTAATCAGCCTTGAAATGGTTTTATCAATATATATATTTCCATCAACATACCAGTTTCTAACCACCCTCATCAACAATGAATATTATCCACCTTTTAAATTACTGATAAGCTGGTGGACCATATAAAGGTTTAAAGCATTTAAGAAGAGGAGTAACTTAAGTACATTTTTATTTCATACTCTCAGTCTGACTGAAAAGCAGAAAACAGATTGTTGGCTGGGGATGGGGGACAGTTAAGAGTGGAGGTAGAGAGGCTACTTAGGAGGCTGCAGCATTTGGTCAAGCAAGGGGTGATAAGTGGGGCCGGGCATGGTGGCTTATGCCTATAATCCCTATAATCCCAGCACTTTGGGACAACATAGGGAGACATTATCTCTACAAAAAAATTTTAAAAATTAGCCGGCCATGGTAGCAAGTGCCTGTAGTTCAAGCTACTCAGGAGGCTGAGGTGGGAGGATTGCTTGAGTCTGGGGGGTTGAGACTGCAGTGAGCTGTGATTGTGCCACTGCACTTCAGCCTAAGTGACAGAGTGAGACCCTGGCTCAAATAAAAAGAAGGTGATTGTGGCTTTGAGTTAAGTTATAGGTGGGACGGGGTGGAAAGAAGTGGAAAGAAAGGTTTGGGAAATACAATTAACAGTACTTGGTCATTTACTAGATGAGGGGGGAAGGATGTAGAGTGCGAAAGAAGACAGAAAAATGTTCAAAGACTTCTAGATCTCTGACATTATTGTTTTTATTAGCAATGGTGTTGTCCGCTGCGGGGTTAGGGAATTCTGTAAGAAATGCAGGTTCAGTACAGGTGAAGGGTCATGAGTTCAATTTCAGTCACACTAGTTTGGTATCTGTGACAATAACAAAGTGGAGATGTTGAATGGGCAGCTGGATATACATGTATCATGCTCAAAAGAAAGTCTGGGCTACAAATAGAAATTTGTTTCTCAAAGCTACAGGAGTATTTAAAATGATCCAGAATGAGAGTATACACTGAGAAAAGAGGGTCAAGGACCAAGTCCCAAGAAACTTCAACGTAAGGTTCTGGTAGATGGGTAGGGTCCAGAGAAAGGACACTGAGAGAACACAAGAAGGCAAGAAGCTGAGAAAGCCATGAGAACTTATTTCTAAAAGAAGGGAGCAGTGTACAAGTTGTTAAATGCTGCTGAGGCGTAGAGTCAGCTCAGTCCTGGAGACTCCACTGGATTTTGGGACATGGATATTATCAGTCTAGTAGAGAGTGGTTGAAGACCCATCATTGAAAAATGGAAGATCCTTTTCTTTTTGACATAGGAATGTCTCCTTTTGCTTTATGTTTTATTAATACTGTTAATTGATAAATCATAATTGTATGCATTTATGGGGTACAATGTGATGTTTTGCCACATGCAATGTGGAATGATTGAATCAAGCCAATTAACCTAGCCATCATCTCACTTACCTACTATTTTTCATGGTAATACATTTAAAATTTACTCTCTTATTTTGGGACATTTTTTTTCTTTGACATGGAGTTTCACTCTTGTTGCCCAGGCTGGAGTGCAATGATACGATCTCAGTTCACTGCAACCTCCGCCTCCCGGGTTCAAGTGATTCTCCTGCCTCAGCCTCCCAAGTAGCTGGGATTACAGGCATGTGACACCACGCCCAGCTAATTTTGTATTTTTAGTAGAGACGGGATTTCTCCATGTTGGTCAGGCTGGTCTCGAACTCCTGACCTCAGGTGATTCACCTGCCTTGGCTTCCCAAAGTGCTGGGATTACAGGCGTGAGCCACTGTGCCCAGCGGGGGAAATTCTTAAAAAGACAAGAGAAGGGATCCAGAGGGACTGACCTTCGATGGGAAAAGATGGATGCAGATGTAACTAAGTCAGCAGATTCTGTGTCAGGAAGCTCAATTTTATTTTCTCTGTGAAATCAAGATCATCTGCTGCAAGTAGGTGGGTGGAGGGAGAATTGGAGGTTGGAATGAAGAGAAACAGGTTTGAAATACTCATTGGACAGAATGAGAAAAAAAGTGGCTAGAGAGCCACAAGGGCCTGCTGTACAGTGATAAAAGCCCGGGTGAGGCTGCTCATCATGAATTGATGCTAGTGCTTGGAGTCTTGCTGCAGGCATAATGAAGGCCAACAGTTGAATTCACCCATACTTGGAGTTATTTCTGGTGGATAAAAGCTAGTGATAGGCTGGGCGCAGCGGCTCACACCTGTAACTCAGCACTCTGGGAGGCCAAGGTGGGTGGATCATTTGAGGCCAGGAGTTCAAGACCATTTTGGCCAATGTGGCGAAATCCTGTCTCTACTAAAAATACAAAAAATTAGCCAGGCATGGTGGTGCATGTCTGTAATCCAGCTACTCAGGAGGCTGAGGCATGAGAATCACTTGAACCCGGGAGGTGGAGGTTGCAGTGAGCCAAGAACACCCCACTACACTCCAGCCTGGGCAATAGAGTGAGACTCTGTCAAAAACAAAAACAAAACGAAAAAAAACTAGTAATAACTCACTCATAACATTCACGAACTTCAGGGAGTTGGGTCTTTTTAGTTATAATTTTACAGATGAAGCAAGGCTGAGAAACATGAAGTGACTTGGCTAAGATCACTCAGCCAGTAAGTAGCAGTTGCTAAGAACAGAGCCTGGATTGGCTGGGTGTGGTGGCTCACGCCTGTAATCCCAGCACTTTGGGAGGCTGAGGCGGGTGGATCATGAGGTCAGCAGATCAAGACCATTCTGACTAACACGGTGAAACCCCGTCTCTACTAAAAATACAAAAAATTAGCTGGTCATGGTGGTGGGTGCCTATAGTCCCAGCTACTCGAGAGGTTGAGGCAGGAGAATGGAGGCAAGAGAATCGCTTGAACCTGAGAGGCAGAGCTTGCAGTGAGCTGAGATCAGGCCACTGCACTCCAGTCTGGGCAAGAGAGCAAGACTCAGTCACAAAAAAAAAAAAAAAAAGAATAGAGCCTGGATCTTTCTCCTTGTATATAGGGAATGTGGACATGAGCTACTCAAAGTGTAAGCAGTGGATCACCAACATTCTGTGAACTGTTTTAACTGATCCTCAAGGAGATAAAGACCTTCCCTGTACATCAACTGTTCTACTAAGCACACTGCTTAGTTCAACTATGTTGTATCTGAAAAATGTTCCCAAGAATTATCAGTGAGAGTTTGAACTTACCTACTTCAACCCTGTTAACACTAGCAAATATCAACTGTCATCATAAAGAACTGAAATACTGACACAGTAAATGAATAAACGTAAGACGTGGCTTCCAATTTTTAACACATACCATATCTACATGCATGGAATTCCTGTCAGCCTCACTATAAACTGCCACAGACTGTACACCCAGTTTTCTGGCTGTGCGCATCACCCTGCAGGCAATTTCTCCTCTGTTTGCAATGAGGACCTTGGTAATGTTTCTTCCTGTTTAAAACACCATGAAAATCACACAGAAATGTTACTGGAGAGCAAAGAACGAGAATGAGAATACGATATTAACTGGCTAATAAGGACTCGAACTGGTAAGTTCAGACTTTTTGGTAAAACTAGCATAACTGAGCCCAAAATGACCACTTTAACTAATATTAAACAGTGCACTTCTTTTCACTGAAATTCAAGGTACTCATTAACATAAATTACTCAGCCTTTTTAACTTAAAATACAAAGCAACACAAAATAAAATTAAAAGATGCTTTGTTATGCCAAGGATCAAATTATAATAGTGCTAAAAATTATCATCATTAATAATAACGAATCTTTATTTTATTTATTTATTTATTTATTTATTTATTTATTTATTTTTGAGACAGTGTTTTGCTCTTGTCCCCCAGGCTGGAGTGCAATGGTGCGATCTTAACTCACTGCAACCCCCACCTCCCAGGGTCAAGCAATTCTCCTGCTTCAGCCTCCTGAGTAGCTGAAATTACAAGTGCCCACCACCACGCCCAGCTAATTTTTATATTTTTAGTAGAGACAGGGTTTCACCATATTGGCCAGGCTGGTCTTGAACTCCTGACCTCAGGTGATCCACCCGCCTTGGCCTCCCAAAGTGATGGGACTACAGGTGTGAGTCACCACACCCGGCCAATAATAACTAATCTTTAATAAGCACTTTCTGTGCCTCAGGTCCTGTGCTAAAGACTCAACATTGACTTAAATTTTCACAATAATCCTAATGAAATAGATACTATCATTGTTATCTCAATTTTAAAGATGAAGAAACTAATGCTAAAAGAGTTATTATTTTCCCAAAATTACACAGCTAAAGGAAGAATTCAGGATTTCAACCTAGATCTGCGTCACTCCAGAATTTAAGGTCTCAGTTACTCTGCTTCTCTGCCTCTACCCCTGTGTACACAGGTGTGTGTGGTTCTCCTGCAACACAAGTGACTCTTGTACCAGTCTACTGGCATGGCACCATAATGACAAGCTACTGCATATATAAAATGTACTTCTAATATCACACATGAAATAAATGTTCTTTGACAGTTCATAATAAAGTTATTTATTAAATAGAATCCATAGGCTCAACATAATAGTTATTTCTTCTTTTAAAAAAAAATAAGGTTGCACCTAATTCAAAAGTGTTTTTCCATGGGGCTCTACAGAGCCCAAGAGTTGTCACAGGGGCTGATAGATGACATATGTATGACTGTGGGCAGGGGAAGGAGAGCAGGGTAGGGAAAGGGTTATACCCAATCAGCTGGAAGTTATACTTTATTACACTTTTATATGTTTTATAGTTGGGAATTCCATGTTAAAGTTTATTTGGAAAAAAAGGTTTTGCTACTTAAAACAGCTTTTTCAAAGCACTGCTTTAGACCATCGTAGTTATGATTTTCCAATGCAACACACTAAGAGGGTCAAACAGACAGAAAGAACAACACGAATATAAAATGTTCTCCATTATTGCCCTCTGTATTTTATTTATTTATTTATTTTACTTTTTTTTTTTTGAGACGGAGTCTTGCACTGTCACCCAGGCTGGAATGCAGTGGCATGATCTTGGCTCACTGCAATCACTTGAATCCCGGGTTCAAGTGATTCTCCTGCCTCAGCCTCCCAAGTAGCTGGGATTACAGGCACCCGCCACCACACCTGGCTAATTTTTGTATTTTGTAGTAGACACAGGGTTTCGCCATGTTGTCCAGGCTGTTCTCGAACTCCTGACCTCAGGTGATCCACCCACCTCAGCCTCCCAAAGTGCTGGGATACAGGCATGAGCCACTGCACCCGGCTGCCCTCTGTATTTTAGACTTAACAGCAAGAGAGATTTGATATAAAAGAGGTGAAAACCATGACTTAACACTTCCTAGAAAATTATCATGAAAATCCAAATTTTATGATAACTAATTCTACTATGCACATATTAAGGGATTAAACAGTTCCCTTTCTTAAACACTTCCAATCTGAAGCAAAATCAAATAGAACAACAAAGTCTGTCAGTACCTGTGGTTGTTGTGTACTTCATGGTTCTTTGCCTCCACACCCATGTCCTATAACATAAATCCAAAAGGAATTATAATTAAACAGAATAGGCAACGCAATTGTTCTTTCAAAAGAATTTCAATTTCTTAAAACATGAAACCTTAAGTCAACTAACAGTGCTTTAGTAAGGCTTTCTTAGTGGGTAGAAAACTAATCTAGAACTCAAGAGTTAGAGATCTGGCTGTTTTCCCTCATACTACCTGTCCTTGAATGAGTCACCTAGCTGCTTGTTCCTGAGGCTGGCATAAGACCACAGAGTCAGAGATGATTAAACAACCAAGGTATACTAACATCATCTAGTTTAGTTTTTTTGAAACCTTTTTGGCTACTACTCACAATACAAACCACCAAGGACACACACTTAATGAAAACAGATGTTTTGTTAAAAATGACTTATTCTGCCTTTTGGCACTTTCAGTTGTATCCTATTTTATTAAAATACGTTGGTCAATCTACAGTTGGAAAAATACCAATCAAGTTCAAACATGAGACATGTTTAAAAAGTAAGACCAGAGAAATAAACGGAAGTTAAACAGGGGCAGCAGAAAGAATGTTGGCTGTGGGACCAGAAGAGCTGCGTTCTCATCCGAGTCCCTCCAGTGACCAGCTTGCCCAGAGTCGAGTCACTTTACATCAGTGTTTCTCAAACTTTTTTTCATTATTACTCTCCTAATGAGAAAACTTGTAAAAGATTTTATTCCTTGCAGGAAGGGTGGGGTAAGGTTGAGCTTAGGTAAGCCGTAAACCATGAAAAAAATCTAAGATTTTCTGGCTCTCCCAAGAATCAATTTCCACCCTTCAGCGGTGATATCATCCCAGTTGAGGATGCAAGATTTAATATCTTAGGCTTCAGTGTTCTCACACACGAGATGAGACTGTAAGAGGTGATCTTGAAGGTACCTCTCAGTTTTACAAGGATTATATAATGCTATTCTAAGTCCTTGTACTAAAATGAAATGAAGAAATGGGGAGACAAGATGACTTGAGGTGTCTTAACGAGGTAGAAATCTCAACAATTTTTAAGTTTCATGATACCTGTTTATAAAATAAGGTAACAATGAACCATTAACCAAGAGCTGACAGAAAACAGGCCAGATTCACTTTAGGAACAAAAAAGTATAACGTCTATTAAGTTTCAGCTAAAGAGGATAAGCGGGCTGGGCGCGGTGGCTCACGCCTGTAATCTCACCACTTTGGGAGGCTGAGGCTGGGGGATCACCTGAGGTCAGGAGTTCGAGACCAGCCTAGTCAATATGGTGAAACCCCATCTCTACTAACAATACAAAAATTAGCCAGGTGTGGTGGTGTGTGCCTGTAATCCCAGCTACTTGGGAGGCTGAGGTAGGAGAATCACTTGAACTTGGGTGGCAGGGGTTGCAGTGAGTGAAGATCACGCCACTACACTCCAGCCTGGGCGACAGAGTTAGACTCTGTCTCAAAAATAAATAAATAAATAAAAATTTTAAAAATTTAAAAAAGCATAGGCAGGGAAACCAACAAATTACAGAAGCAATTCCACCTATCTTTTTGTCTATACCTGGAAGATGTGGTTATAAAGGACTAACTAACCATTTTAGATTATTCACAAAGCACAAGATAAAAGCACAGCATGTGCATTAGAAACTATGTAACTAGGCAGTAGTATATACATACTATGTATATGACTATGTAGTTGAGCAGGACTAGTATTTCACTGGAGCCAAGATGCGGGAGACACCTACACATCTATATGCATCTATACACTCACTGCCCTACAGTGCACACTTAGATGCTGCCATCCATGAGGAGCTGCTGGGAAGACCCACAGCTTTGGCAGGAGAGTTCCGTGAGCTGGCTTCCTCAGGAGGCTGCTGCTTTCCCATACCTTTCCATTTGAGCTGACCTTACCTTCTTGATCATGAAGGAGGGGGATCATCTTTTCTGATCTTTATGAGGTATTTTCTAGCTCATAGCATCATCTTCCCTTCACATTCTTCAGATAGGCTTCTGATACGTTTCAAGGCCTATTCTGGGCAGATTTATCTATTAAATCGTTGTTGGTTGGTAAAGGTAGCTTAAGACTGATTAAGTTTCAAGGCTACTGTTGACCTAAAGCTTTCTTTTGCAATCTTCTGGTGAAGACAGAAGAAGGGAGGCAGTGAGAAAGAGGGGGAGGGAGGGAGGA